CAGTGACATAGACCTGGTGGTTTTTGGGAAATGGGAGCGTCCTCCTCTGCAAGAGCTCGAACAAGCTCTTAGAAAACATAATGTGGCAGAACCTTTCTCCATTAAAGTGCTGGACAAGGCTACAGTGAGTAGGAACGACTATCTTTGTGCCAAACTCATTTACAATTCTATTTTTAAATTGAATATTTTTATTATTATTATTATAATTTTTTGCCCTGTCCTGATTCTTTTTTTCTCTAAATAATTAAAGAAACATTTGCTTCCGCATTATTGCCACTAAAGAAAATCAATCGGTTCTATTAGAGGCTTAAGCAATTTAACTCGGTGTATTAAGATTATGTTTTGAAGCGAGGATTCGTTCAACCACAAATGAATGAGGAATGATCATTTAAAAGCCCACTCTCATCACAGAGGGCGCTTTTGCTGTGGGGGTTGCTGCTTTTTCAGCAGAGTGTGTTTGGGAAACACGGGAAAGAATTCCATCATTCAAACAGGCTCTAAAAAAGAGAGAGAGGATTATATTGAAATATCAGAAGTTGGAGAATAGTGGCGTTGCTTTCTGTCCTTGTGACGGATACGGAGCCCTACGGCCTCCAGGGAGAGGCTGCAAACCGTGTAAAACCCCGTAAACTGAGTGTGGACTCCACAGCTCTGTGGCTCAGGTGGTAGAACAGTTTTCCCACTAATCACAAGGTTCGCCACGAAGGCCACGGCCACTCCTCATCTCAGAATGTCACTTGAACTCGAGCTGATCTCAGCACCGACAAACTCATAAACAAATGAAAGGACAGAACATGACGACACAACAGACGGTGATTCATTTCACATTTATGGTTTTCTTTCTTTTTTTAAAAATCCTTGTAGATTACAGAGTTCAGAGTTTTCCACATGTCTAAAGTCTGTCTCTGGCATGAGGCAGCTCTGGATTTAGGCTGCTTTTTAGTTAATTTAGACCATAAATATATTAATATATATATGTATTAAAATATTCTCCACAATATTTTAATAGGCTTTATGTTGCCTTCTCTGATTTTCAAGGAAAAATGATGGGAAAAGTGTTCATTACTTAAATGTATTTTGTAATCAGAGTCAACACCCCCTGCTGGTTTATAAAGGAACAGCATCCGTAGCCTCACTTTTTAAAAGGGTCCAGATCTTAAGTTGTCTGTTTTCTCATATTTGTGGAGTGAAGACTTGATCCAAATATCATCCCTGTGTTGTGAAATGCAGTAGACAGCAATATTGTCTTAAAATATATATATTCTCCCAATACTGATTCTTTGGCATGAACCGCATTTCCATGAGATTGCGCTAAAAAGGCATTCAAAGCCAGTTTATTAAGTGTTTCAATTAATGTAAACACAGCCTGATATATCAAGTAAGAAGTCAGTAAATTTGAGCCTGGAAAAGCCTGGACCTGGAGCATATTTGGGGAGAGCCCAGAGCTGGCACAAAACCACTGAAAATACGACTTGGTAAAGATTTTTATGGTCCAAGAAAAGATCTTAAGAGCTCTCCAATATCGAGACAAAATTCAAACTTTACGATCTGTAAAGAACAGAGTGATTTTACCTCCATCTGATAACGCCGATAAACAGTTTGTTTGGTTGACGGTTATATTCACGGTGCTTTTCTGGCTTTGGTTCACGCTATATGGAAAGCTGTCAGCTTTTTCCAGCTGAATTCAACAATGCTTCCTCTCTTTACTGACTTCCCTTCCACCATAACTTCCTCTCATTGTGTCAAAGCCATCATCATTCGACAGCTTGGTGCTAAGTGCCCAACAACAACAACAAATAAAACTTCCTCTAAAAGCTTGTGGCACCTTTTAGGCCTGCAGTTTATTCAGAGGATCAGAATGTAATTTGTTCTTGAATAGGTCCCCAATCTGCTTTCAGGTTCCCATCATCAAGCTGACGGACCAGGAAACGGAGGTGAAGGTGGACATCAGCTTCAACGTGGAGACCGGAGTCAAAGCGGCCAGCTTTATCAAAGACTACGTAAAGGTGAGACATAGCCGAGGGCTAACTCTTTGTAACGGGCTCCTTTTGAAGTTTATTTATTTTCATTTATTTATTTATTTATTTAATCAGGACAGTGGACATTAATAAGATAAGATAAGAGCTTTATTGATCTCACAGTGGAGAAATTCACTGGTCACACATCGGTTTAGTGGCTAAAGAGAGTTCATAACGAGGAAAAGGTGCATAAAGTACAAACAGCAAAAACAAACAAATATACAAGGAAGCAACACAGCGCAGAGGTTTGAGCCACTGAAATATGTACAATCAGTGATGGCTCACACACAGTACACATATTACACAGGTCAATAAATATAATACAATTGCAGAGCAGTTGTTATAGTGCAGCATTGCACAGTCTGGTAGCAGCAGGAATGAATGATAATGAACAATCTTACACTTCTGTACAGATTGTAAATGAGCGGGATTATAGCATAGTTGCTCATTTAAATCTGTGGTCCAGAGACAGGAAGACAAAACAACACAAAATCACAAAATACAACATCAGTCCAAACACACAGACACACGTTCTGACAATGACATCACAACAATAAAATCAGTGAGTGCATGACTGGGAACTTTTAAGAAACTGTTTAAGGTGCTTTTTAAATGTGCAATAAGTGGGACATTCCCTGATGTTTGTTGGGAGTTTATTCCAGAAGTGACCCCCTCTGACTGGTAGAGGTTTGTCCAGAGGTTGTTCTTCTGTGGGGGGTCTCTGGGTCTAATGTAGGTAGAAAGTGGAGGGGGGGCTAATCCATTCGGAACTTTGTAAATTAAACAACTATTTTCAAAATGAATAAAATTGTCAAATTGAGCATATTATATTTTTCCAAAATATGACACTGATGGAATGACAGGGGCTTTTGACCAAAGATTTTTAAAGATTTTTTAAAATAATATATCTATTGGTTTTAAAGTTGTGTCTCCAGTGAGTGAGTAGGTTGTGATGCAGTAGTCTGTGTGAGAATATCATTGAGTGCAGGAACATTTTTAGCAGAACCGATTGTCATCGATGATCTGATTTGCTAAAAGTTACGTATATTAAGTTACTGACTAAATGTGCACAATGGAAGGAAAACATTCAAATGGAGGAGTGCGAGAGAGGGTCATGCGGCCATATTTAAAATGAGAGGAAACACCAGGGGAGTCACTTAATTGCCATTTTACAGTAGGATCTAAATAAAGACCTGTGGAAAGTCCCTGTGTGAACAAGGGAAGCTAGCATAACGAAGCATCTGGTTTTGACTCTGGTCCCCTAAACCCGGCTCTGCCCCTCTGAATCTAAAGCAGATCTCCGGCAGAATTCCTCCCTGAGGTGGATCTCTATCTGCCTCGGTTCACCTCGGGGTGGGAATTCCAGGAGCTGGTGTTCCAACAAG